CGAGCGGGACATCGTGGAGTTAAAACTTAAATGTTCTGCCCGCGTGCCGGAATTTAAGGCCTGCCGGTCCCGCGATTGGCATCCCGTGAAGCGGAAGCCACGGATGTAGGGTCAAGCTTAAGGTGGACCACCACCTCGGTTTTTGTTTTCCCACACATGCACAGCCGGCTCTCCGGCAGCAGAGGCGACGGTGTCGAAGGGAAGCTCCAGCAAAGAGCTGGCGAGGGCTGGCTGCGCCACGACAGCGATGATGCAACTCCAGCGAGACACATAGGCCGCCTGCAGAGCCGTCCGAACGGCAGAGTGCGCACGCGCAGCCCGCGCTCGTGCAAGAAGCCTGAGGAAAGCTGCGGGCTCGGGACCCCAGCGGCCTCCGATCTCAACTGCGAATTTCGATCCGACCCTAGCGCCACCCTCCTGGCAGACCCTGGATTCAGCACGCTCAAGTGGGATGGCGTGCGCGGCGTGGAGGGCAAGGGCACCGGAGGTCGCACAAGTTGCGCGGTGGTCGCCGAGCGGGTCAAGCAGACCACGGCACGGCAGGCACAAGGTGGGGGTGCGAGCGGCGGCGCTAAGCGCAGGGCGGCGCAGGAGGAGCTCTCGGAACTCTACAAGTCCGCAGGATGGCGGTGCGAATTGGGGTCGGCTTTGCACTGGATCGGTTAGCGCGCGCCACGTGCTCTCGTCTCCCGGTGCGAGAACCGCCGCGTGGCATAAGGACTTATAGCGCGGTGGGGACAAACTTCCTACCCGGACGGACGCTAGTGCAATTCGGCGCTGGTCTTCCAGCTGTTCGGCGTTTCGGGAAGCAGCTATTCGACCGGGGTAACTCTGCCGCCGTGCTGCCACCCACCGTCCTTGCTCAAACGCTCTGGCCCGTCCCAGCAGCTCATCGCGGCCTTGCCTGCACGGTGTTCGGCTCGTGCAAACAGCATGCGGCGGCCCAAATAGCAAGAGCTCCAAGCTGGCAACGATTCGCTGGAGCCGATGCTGGACGCAGTCGCTTATTATAGTAGGCGGTTGAGCGCCAGTGCCCTGCCGCATGGAATGCGGTCACGTCCTGCAATGCGGGGACGGGGTGCCGCAACTCCTCCTCCAGGTCCACCGTGACAGCTTCTAGAAGGGGCTACTGCTGCCACTGGTAGCGGTAACCCAAAACAACATCCAGCTAGCTACAAGCAGCCGCACCTTTTGCTCGAACACGTGTGCCTGCCGGTGGAGTCGCACGATCACAGCCTGGCAGCAGGACTACACAAACTCTTCAGGCTTACACTGGTAAAAATCATCTCTCCTCTTTCTGGAAGAGTCCTCTTTTAAGAGGTAGCAAAATCCCGGCTCTCAGGGTCTCCCACCACACTTTGGCACGCATAGGCTTCGTTAGTGGGTCTGCGAGTTGCATTTCCGTCGGGATCCACTGGAGTGGGAGTCGGGGTCCCCATTGTTCATTACGAAGTTCTTGACGAAGGGCCGCCAGGTCGATGGCGAGGCGTCGGTCGGCTGGTAGTCTGGGTGTCCCGGCCTTGTGCAGGTAGTCGTGCAAGGACTTGCAGTCGGACAAACATAGCATTGGCCACCTCCCTCGAATCTCCTCGTGCTTCACCAGTCGCCCACAAACTAGGGAGGCCAGGAGGGCTCGCATGTACTGGCCGCCTTCCAGCCCTTCCACTGCTGCCATCGTCTCGGCACCAAACGTCGAGCGGCAAACCCGTTTGCACGATTGGCTCCGCCACTCAAGTAGGCTGCTCCGGCACTTCTCGCCGTTGAGAATCTTCTGGTTCGTCATGAACACCAGGTGGCCAAGTTGGGAAGCTACCTTGGAGGAGCCGCGCTTTGGCTTGCGAGGTCTGTCCTCGCTGAACAGGTGACGCAGGGTGCCATGGTCGATCTCCTCTGGCGACAGCTAGAACCCTTCCTCCACGTCCTCCAGCTCAGCGTTCGCCCAGGCGGCGTCGTGGTACACAAGAAACATGGCGGAGTCCAGGAAAATGCCGTGCAAGTAGATTCCCTCGCCTCGGTGTTCTTCTGCGCGGGCCTTGAGCTGGTTGACAAACCGGACGTCCTCGGTAAGGGGAGCTCGCTGGAGCTGCTGTGATAACGTCACTCCGCATAGCAAGTCGGGGCGACTCTGGCTGCTCAACCAGCTTAGGGCTCCGATCAGGGAGCGATTGTCTATGGCCTGTTCGGTGCTGGCCGGCTCAGCCCCGTTTTGTCCCCGGGGAATGTCGACTGTGAACAGGCGGCCGTCGACAAAGCTGGCCTGATTGATGGTGATGCCCTCGCTACCGACCTCGATGAAAGAGCCCGTGTACTCAAAGCTGTCCTCGAGCCAACTGTCGACCGGGAAGAGCTCGCTGATGCGCTTCTGCATCTTCCTGTTCACTTCCCTAGGCGCCACCAAAAGCAGGTCATCGACGTGGATGCAGATGTAGGCGAGCGGCTCGCCAGGAAGTCCACCTTCAAGTAGCATGAGCACGCAGGGATCGAGTGGACTTGGGATCAGTCTGCCGCTCTTGCCCTCCACCTCAAAGACCTCGCCCAGGAGCACGCTCGATAGCCTATCGTACCACATCCGTGGACTCTCGGAGAGCCCGAAGACTCCCTTGCGTATCCGCGCCAGCTGGCGGGGATGCAGGCCATCGATTCCAGACTTAGGTTGTGACAACACAGTTCACGCTGTAGCTCGACTCCTTGAAGGAAAGCTGCCTGCACGTCCCCGGCAGCTGCACTCCACCTCTTGGACGCACACACTTGGAGCACCGAAAGGAGTGATGCTCTTGACACCGTAGGAGAATCCACCACCACATTCGTCACCCCCACATCCGGATCTTGGTGCCCTCCAACAACCAGTCGGGATTTCGGTTTCCATGGGCATGTAGGGTCGGCCCGACGTCGGCCCATGTGCTTATCGCGGTAAGCGAACCGCGACGATAGTATCCTCTCGGCGGCCACCGTCTGACGAATGCGGTCGCTGGTCGCGAGGTCAAGCACTTCCAAGGCGCCAGTGTCGACATGCTCCTTCCATTGAACTGCTTCTGCACTTCGGAATGCCGGCCTCATCTCTTCGGGGATCATGGCCCAGGGGATCTCCTTCTCTAGCTGCTTTTCCTTGGAGCGGGGCGTTCTTGCCTTCTTGAGCATGTGGGCCTCGTGGGGACCAGGACCAGCGGGTGCTTCATCTCCTCTTCCTTTTCTGCGCTGCCGCTTCAGGACCATCGGGGGGACACGTGCCAACTCGCGCCGTACTCCTCGTCGATCGCCAGAGTCCTCCTCGATGTCCATGGCGATCTCGCCGATGCCGTAGCCCTCATCCGCTTCATCGCGCGGCTCGTCGTCGGCGTTTTCCTCTTCGCCGTCGATGAACATGTCGTCCTGCTCAGAGTCGGCGTTCAGGAGCTTGTCCAAATCCTGCTGGGCAACATGCAGACTGAAAGCTTGACCGAGTTCTTCTGCAGTCGCCAGCCGAACATGTTCTGGAGCACAGAGCACACATCGTCCTCCGCGAGTTACCCATAGGTTAGCCCCTTCTTGGCCTATTATGGTACCTGGTCCAACCCAGGTGCCCTTCTTGTTGTTCTTGGTCTTCCTGTAGTAGAAGACCCGCTCCCCGGTCTCGGGTGTTCTAGCTTCGACCCGAGCTCGTCCCGCCAAAGCGCGGCGGACTCGCTCATCTGTCTGAACATGGAAGTAGGCAGCTCGGGCTGCCGTGCGTAAAGCAACTTCTCGGGCATGCCGGTCGTCGATGATGGGCTCATCTCCGGGTTGTAGTGCATGTGGTCCATCAAGTAGATCTTCTGGCACGACAGGAGATGTCCCAAAGACATGCTGGCACGGACTGAACCCGCTCGTCTTGGTGAGCTGGTTCTTTGCAGACGACACCGCACAGATGGCCAGGTGGATGTCACTCTTGACGACAGACTGTTCCTCGCACACCCGCTGAAAGATCTCCTTCCAGATAGCCCCTTGGCGCTCGGTATAGCCGGCCTGGTGGTGAGCCTGACCGGCTGCCGTGCGCACGCGGGTTCCCGTCCAGTCGCTGATCCTTCCCAGAGACTTTTCGAGGCCATTCTCCATGTCCACAGCCACCACAGACGGGGCCCCGAAGATATTGATCCAGTTCTCGCAGAAGGCCCGTTCCAAGGTGGGGGTGTCCTTCCGGGCAACGGGGACGACGACATGATAGGCCGAAGAGAAGTCAACGATGGAAAGTAATTGATGTCGTTGGCCCTCGCTGTCGTGGATGTAGAATAGATCCGTCCCGATCATCTCGTTGAACCGGAAACATGACGCTACCTTGGCCGGCTTGGCAATGGCAGGACGCCGGGTCCTCTGGCAAACTTGACATTCGAGGTTGCGGGCTGCCTTTAGAACTTCCCGCGAGGCCCCTGCGAGTCGCAAATGACGAACAAAGTCGGCCACGCTTGGATGGCCCAAGTTCTGGTGGAGGCGTCTTAGGCTGGCCGCCACAGTAGATGGAACGCTCGGCGGAAAGCGGATAGCCTGAGCACCCCTGGCCATTGGCTGGTCCTCCTCTCCTTCATCTCCGACTCGATGTGGGGCGACCCTCCCGTCCTCGGCCTCGCCGGCGTAGACGGTGTTCACGTAGGACTCCTGCTCGTCGTAGATCACGTGGATGCTCTCGTTGCCGTTGGCGGTGTGGTCGTGCCGGACCGAATAGCCAGCGCTTTCCGCAGTGACCATGTCGTGCCAGAGCCTCGGCTCATCGATCTCTTTCTCGAAGACCACACTTCGACCAGCACCCAATTGGTAGCTAACGGCCTCGACAAGGTCGTTGTAGACAGCACCGTCCCCGAACTCCTCCTTCACATGAACCCAAAGTTGCCCAGGCTCGTGTTTCATGACGGCCGCCTCAAGGTAGCCGATGTCACAGTCGGCGGGGCGGTCGTTGTGCAGGACGTCCTCCACCACGATGGGTTCCACCAAATGGTCCCCGCAGATTCCATACTCAGCAAGTCTGCATGTGGCCGAAATCCCACCGACCTCTAGCAAAGGTGTGCTTGGCGCGGGTCGTGGTAGTAGAGCGAGTTGTGCCGCCTCGGCCATGGTGGACAGAACCGTGGTGAGTAGAACACTCAACAAGAGGGCGGTCTTGCGGATGTTGCGTCTGCAGCTTTTGCGCGGCCTTGTAGAAGAGCTCGGGGGACACTCGGCGCTCGGTTCGTCAGCTTTGGCAACAACCTCCTCTTGTCGGCGGTCGCACCTGAGCTGGGACTTGCTGGGGAGAGGGAACCCTAGTTCGCGAAGCAGCTTCTTCTCCTCTTTGTTGGAGTCGGGGTAGGTCCGGGCCGTGAACCCTGCAATGAACCACCTCTCTCCATGGAAGGTCTCGGTGCAGTGGCGTAGCCGAGGATCAAACTCCCAACCTTGTTCGTGGGTCGACACGATTCGTCCTTCAACTTCGTGACCCTTTGCATCTCGCCGCCACGCTCCGCCTCCGGACTCTTGCACCCACATATCGCCACCCTCGCCTTGGCCGAAACTTACAACGAAATTGTGGCTCCCCTTCACGTTGTTCTTGTCGGTGTGCATCGCCGCGGGACAGTTGTGAAGGAGGGCGATCGAGGACCACGTAGGCTCTCGTTGTTCCGGACCATCGCCGCCAACGTACTCAGTGATGACCCTGTTGAGGTAGGCAGTGAGGTGGGGCCATTGCAGCGTCCGCTTCGTGATCCCCTTGAAGGTGCCGTAGGCGTAGTATCCGAACGTAGCCCGCCCGCCATCTTCAGGTAGTCCATGGATGCCTTGGCGCCGCACGTGGCTCCGGAAAAGTCACCCTCCTGCAACTTCTGTTGAGCAAGATGTTCTCCAGGATGATCTCGTCCGGGGCCTTGTCGTCGGGAGACGTAGTAAGCATCCTTAACCAGGTCCTCCGATCCAGAGGAACATGATTGAAAGCCTTCGTCTTGCTCGTAGTGCGTGACGTGCGCGCCCGATGGGCGCTTCTCATCAATCTCCTTGGGACCAGAGCTTACTGGGGTGGCAAACCGCACCGATCGCGGAGCGTCGCCAGTCGTGTCTCCAGGGCATGGATCTCCATCAGCGTCTCCTCGGCGATCTCCTGTTCCATGCGTGCAGGTTCTTCTCCGGGAGGAGGCCGTGCTCGGGATGCCTGTCTCTTTGCCTTCGCGGCGGCCATCTCGGGCACCAAGTTTTGAGGGAGGACAGGTCTCCAACCGTGCAGCTCGCTGTAGCCGCTCCACACGCTCTCCACTGCAGCCCAGGAGGAACTCCCCGTCTCGCTCATCGGTGGCGGCTGCACGCTCGCGTAGGTCTCCACGCCCAGGTAGCTCGCCGCCGATCTCGGTGGTGTCATACTCGCCTTCGGCTGGGCTCTCATGTGCCTCCTCCAGTTCACGAAGCGCTTCAGATCGGTGTGCATGTTGTCCCCGTTCTGGCGTTCTTCCTCTGAGGCCCACGCTCCGTAGGACTCCGGGACCTCGCTGAAGAGTGTCCCGCGGAACCTTCCCACCGTCATCACTGTAGTCGATGGAGCGGCCGCGTCCCGGATGCGGAGCATCAGAGTCCCTTTGGACTCCTTGTCGTGAACCGATAGGTTCATCTTGGTTGCTTCCTCGCGCAGCTCGGCCAAGTTCATCCCGGAGAGCTTCTTCGGCACGGCCCCGGTCGTGTTCTGCTTCTCGTAGTCCATGTCGGCCATGAGGATGGTCCGGAGCTCGGGGCACGTCCATTCGGGACTGATGGCCAGCTCGCGGCGATTGCACTCCGCGATCAACTGTCCTTTGGTCATCTGCCATACTGCAACCATGGCCGGGAGGTCTCGGAATAGGGGATGCTTGGGCTCGGTTGAAGACACTGCGGCCAACCCATAGAGTCGGATAGTCACCTTGCTCACGATCCTGCCACAGCTCGCTAACGGTGGACAACATGCGACCAGACAAACAGCCGATGCCCCAGGTTTCCCTCATGCTGCCAAGTTGCGCGAGAAGTAGTTCACGTAGATGTGACTGACTAGTTTCCCAACGTCGGGGATCGAAGAACTTTCTGCGGGGTGTCACATGCACACGAACTAGCTTGTGGGGCAACTCTAACCAGAAGTCATTCGTGATTTCGGTTGTAGCCCACCAAGATGAAAAGGTCTCTTCATTCAACAAGTCACTGGTCAACATGTCTTTAACTGCTCCATCTATCTTCTTGTCGTAAAAGATCTTGGGTACCATGACAGAGTCAGTATAGGCCTATCCATACCATCCCCAGTGCAACCAATCGTGTAAACCTCGCGATGGCTGACGATCTCGATCCCTTGGGCTTCCCGACAAGGCTGGATGGCCGCTGTGGGTCTCTAGGAGGGGGATTTCCCCACTCTGCAAGGTACGAAACGTCGCCACATTGCGGCTCAAGTCAAGAATCAAGCCCAAACGAGTCAAGGCAGGCTTCGACATCAACAGCGGTACGTCTCCATGAATGACCGAGGCCTTCACGGCGACCACCTGAGAGGCAATGGGGATGTAGATCACAGCGGCATACGTAGATTCATAGATCTTGCTCGCGGCACCGAACTTGAAGCTTTCGCGCTCGTGGACTAGTTCAGCGTCATAGCCACCGCCCTTGGTGTGATTGAGGTACTTCTGGAACCAGTTGGTGCCGACGACAGTCTTGGAGCACGCGGTGTCGAGGATCGCCATGAGCTCGCCAGCGCCGCCGAAGAGCAACTCATACACCTCGTTGGTGACGTGGATCGTCTGCGTCCTCGCTGCCGATTGTCCTTTGCCGAACTTCGGACACACTTCGTCACGATGCCAGTGTCCCTTCTGGCCGCAAGCTGAGCAGTGCGACTTGGCCTTTGCCAGGGCGATCTTATTCTCGGCGGCGCGGCGAACGTGGTTCGTCTCTCCTTCCTTCTCCTTGTCGCCGAACTTGGTCTCAACGCCCCTCGCCTTCGTAGCCTCCTTGTACCTGGCCTTCGCCGTCATGTAGCTCACGTACAGGTCCCCGGCATCGGCGTCGGGGTCGTCGTAGGTCGGGGCCTCAATCTCCGAGTCGCTCGCATTGGTCTCGTCGATCCCCTCGGCGTGGTTCACATTCTGTGTGCGCGGTCGGACCCCAGCCTTTTCCCACGGCTTGCGCATGGACCTGTCCAGCACGATAGCAGCAGATTGGAGAGCTCTGAGTGCGTACTTGTTCCCCACACTGGCCAGTAGACTCACCTCGGTCGCCTCGTCGAGGTTTGCCCTGTCCACAAACAACCAAGCGTTTGCCACATCAGGTAGAGCACATCCGCACTCCACCACCCTGGCCAGTAAACGGTTGAACTCCGCGGCGTAGTCCCTGAAGCTTTGCGTCGGGCGACGACGCAATTTCCTGAACAAGTCGCTCAGTGACCTGCCGACCTGCGTCACTTCCACGTCCAGGTAGTGTTTTCGCACCCACTCGCGAAGCCTGTTGACGCCATCGGGGCTTGCCAGCTCGTCCACACTCAAAGACTCTGAGTTCACCCATGCGGAACCAGCCAAATGCTGATAGAGGACCAGAGCACGTTGGTCAGGCGCCAGCTTGGTCATCTTCTCCCACACCGAAACCTGGCGGAGGTAGCTTCGTGCGGAGCTTCCAAGGTCACCCCCATTCTCTGTGCCGCCACTGAACGATGGCACGATGAGTCGCTCAGAGGGGCCCTTAGTGCCGCCCATGCCACCACCCCCACCATTGGATGATGTAGTCCAGGATCGTTCCGCCGGGGGGCCCGACGTCCAGGTAGTTGGAGGGCCTCCGGAGGTTGACATACTCGTCGAAGTAGTTTCATCGTGCCGTCCAGCTCGTCCATCGCCCCATGACCGTGCCGTAGGTGCGGACGTGGTCCATGTAAGTGATGAGCTCCCGGGGCCTGTGATATTCCCGGTTGTAGAGGTGTAGCCACCATCCCATGACCGTGCCGTCGTAGCGGTCGTGGTCCATGTAGATGACGGGTTCCCGGGGCCTGCTGTAGTCCAGGATGTAGGTTGGTAGTCGTGAGGCTCCCAGTTCCACTGCCACCTCCAACTTCCTTGTCCTGGCGTCGCATGATCCCAGGACTGGTCCCAGCCCCAGTCACCATTCCACGTAGAGCGCGACCACCACGAAGCATCTGAGGTGTGGTGGCTAGGTCCGGAGCCGCTCCCATCATGGGTGCCTCCGCTGCCGTCGCTGCTAGCATCTTGCTGTTTCCAAGTTGACTGCTGAGGTTGCCAATCTTCCCTCGTCCAAGGCTCAGACGCCCCAGCGGCTGAGTCCCTTCTTCCTTGAGCTTCCCAGGATTGTTCATTTTCAGCAGGAGTAGGTTGCGCAGTATCTTCGCGTACAGGCTCTGCATCTGCGCCCGACGGCGCTCGACCCCAAGGGTCACTATCAGGCGCGGACCACGGGTCCGCCTCGCTTCCGCTGGCCATGGAGCGCACCGGCTCCGCTACCAGTGACAGCTTCTAGAAGGGGCTACTGCTGCCACTGGTAGCGGTAACCCAAAACAACATCCAGCTAGCTACAAGCAGCCGCACCTTTTGCTCGAACACGTGTGCCTGCCGGTGGAGTCGCACGATCACAGCCTGGCAGCAGGACTACGCAAACTCTTCAGGCTTACACACCGCGTCCAAGCGGCCCCAGGGATCTGCTTGTGTGGTCACTGCCACCACCCCCCGCCCCCCTTTGAGATGTGACCTGGCGTGCATCCCCTCGCAAAGAGTACAGGAACATGCACAGGCAAACACACAGGTGCCCATTTTGCTGCAGATGCACAGCTGCAGATCAGTATTCTGCTAGAACTTTGAGCGACAGGCATGGATACATGCAAGCGATACGTGAAGCTGACAGCCACCTGGATGTGTAACATTCCTGCAGTGTTTCATTTCAAACAAACACTTTTTTTCGCGCTCGTTTTTGCATCCGCTATCATCCGTTGCGTGCGCATCAGGCCGTGAGCGGCGGCCTCGGTGAGCGCAACGACCCAGCCGAGTGGGATGCGCTCGTCACCCGTAGGCTGCGCCGGTGCGTGCCAAACGCCTCCCAGGACCGTAGACGCCGCAAAGCGCAGCCCAGCTATCCCGCCTGCGATTCCACTCCGTGCGGGCAGCAGCTGAGGCGTTCCGGGCCGGGCCGGGCAAGTTCCGGGTAGCGTCGATGTTTGTGCCGCCGCGCCAGCAATGGCAGCCCCGCCCCGATCCGGCGAGGCCAGTTGCGGGCGCCCGTCTGCATGCGGCGGCGACACCAGCATCGCAGCAGAGCGGTTCGAAACGCCGAGACGCGCCATTATGACAAGGTCGAACGGGCGCCAGTCATCTGGTGTCCCGGCGCGCTGGTCCGCGTCAACCACTGTCAGCTAAAAAGCGCCGCGCTAGCTGGAGCTGCGTCACTAGACGTTCCGAGCCGAGACTTGAGCCAGCTTGCTTGTAGCAACAGCTTCCTTCATTCGTTTCCAAACTTGTGCTTTTTGCTTCCTGTCTTTCCTACTCCTAGAATCTCACATGCTTTCCTCATCTCTTTCAGCGTACTCTCAGGAGCCAACTCAATTCCTCCTACATTCATCTTCTCTTCCATTGATTCTCCAATGCTTGGCAATTTCTCTTCGGCTTTCTCTCTTTCCTGTTCTCTCTGACTGCTTTCACCTCTTTCTTTGCTCTCATCCATAGAGTCTAACTCCTTGGGAAATTCTTCCTTCTCCTTGTCTTCCTCTCCTTGTGGCAGTTCCGTTGTTCTCTGATTTTGTTTCATTTCCACATCCTTCTCCAGTGGATTCACGAACTTACCATACTCTTCCATTCCACTAAGGTTTCCTCTCCATGATTGTTACTACAACGGACCACGGCTTGTCCGACGTGATCTCCACTCTTTCTCTTCCGCTCCATTCTTCTGCGCATTAAAAGACCTCTAGTTCATTCCACTTCACTTCGCCACCATCGTATGTCGTCAGCAATTTTGTTCTGTACTTGAACGCCCTGGTGTCATCCTTTCTTGGATTGTACGTGTACTTTGTATCCCAGTCAAGTCTCACAGGGTTTTTCACTCCCTTCCAGATCATCTTCAATCTCCTTGGTCACCGTGAGCTTCCTCACTGTCTTTTCGTCCTTTTCACTTTGTCGGTCACTGTCGAGTTCCTGACAAACCGGATAGGTATCATCGTTTTTCCTTTCTGCAGATATGCTGAGTTTGCATTCTTGGGTTCTATACCCCATCCGCATTTCCAAAGTTTCCCGACAGCGAAAAGTGGCTGTGTCACATCGGCAAAGACAGCTGAGTCCCTGACCTCACTGTCTTTCCGTCAGCCTTTTGAAATTCGAATGTAATATTTGCTCGTTGTTCAGTAGTAGTCTTGATTGCATTTCCTTGGGCATCACGGATCACCAGTTTCAGCGCTGGGAACTCTGATGTTCCTAGATCTTCACTGTAATAGCTCAACGGTAGAACGTGGCAATCAGCTCCACTATCTAATACGACTTCTGTCAAGCCTTCATCCCACGCGTGGACCATCCTCACCGTGTCTTCTCCACATATATCTAAAATGGGACCTGTGATCGGGATCTCAACCAGTTTCTCTCTCCATTCTTGCTGGCATTCTTGTACGTCTAATCCTTCAGAATGGCCTGTGATCGGGATCTCAATCAGTTTCTCTATCCATTCTTGCTGGCTTCTGGTGGCTTCATACCACCAATCCAATTCATCTTTCTCATAGTCTTCTTCATCACCCATACTCATTCATCTGCACCATTCTCACCGAACCTTCGTCATCTGGTTCTCCAAACAAGCCAACCAAATCAACAAAATCGGCTTCATCATCATCATCATCATCATCATCCAGCTCTTCAATGCTCGGCATTCGTCCTGTCTCAATTCTTCTCACCTGCTCTGAACCTTTTGCATTTCCAGCTCTTCTGACGTTTGCCACTTCTTGATTTGCTTTCTGCGTTCCTTGCTGGCTCTCATTCTGATTCCACTCTTGGTTCCAATTTCCGCTCTCATCATCTTCTCTCACATTTCGGATCTTGCCTTTCTTTCCTTTTCCTTGGTCGCTTCCGCTTGGTCTCGACCAGCATTCCGTCGAGATGTGGCCTGTCCTGCCACAGTTGTAACATACAACTGAAGATCCTTTTCCAGTCTTTCCTCCTTTGCCTTTGTCACCGTAGCCTTTGCTGTCAGCTTGCCTCACGCTCTTTCCATATCCTTTTCCTCGTCCCTATCCTTTTCCTCTTCCTTTTCCTTGTCCTTTTCCTTTTCCACTTCGTCCTCTTCCTTTTCCGCGTCCTTTTCCATATCCTCCATATCCTTTTCCTTGTCCTTTGTCACCTTCTCCTATTCCTTTTCCTTTCTCACCTTTTCCTTTTCCTTTTTCACCATGCATTCTATCCAGTTCCATCGGTATCGGTCCTTGGTACTCCTTGCTCGAACAGCTTGCATTGTGTGGTTGCACACTCAAGGATCCTAAGATTTTCTCTGCAGACCACGTCTGGTTACTCCTTTCAAACTGCAGTAACTTTGTTCTCAGCACAAATATGTCGTGCGGTCGTTGATGTCAACCATGATGTGTTGTCGCAGATTCTGCGGTATTCCCTTGAGAAGGGTACGGATTTTCAAAGTGTCGTCGTACCGACTATTGGATAGCCGTTCATATTCGGTAACTAATTCTTTATATGTCAAAACATAATCCATCAATGATGCTCCTTTACTCATTGCTGGAAAACCAACGAGCGCTTGCGCCATTGCTAAGCTGCGTGATCCCGATGATGGCTCGAGCTCTGCTGTGAGTTTTCTCCATACTTCGAAACCATTCATATCGTCAACGCTTCTCAACACTTTCGGCGGTCGATTTCTCAGGTAACTGCGAAGCACTGAGTAAAGTTTCATTCCTCGCAGTCTCCGATCTTTTCGTAAGCTCGGGCCGCGGGACCCTAAATACTGGTCTTTGGGATCATAAATCCTAGTTTCGGGGCTTTGTTGCATCATTTTTGTTCCATTTGGCCCAGAAAACAAAAACCTAATTAGCCGTGACTATTTCGGTTTGTTGGGTCATGGTAATCGTTTTCGAGGCTGGTGATAAGGGTTTTAGGGTTCATGTTTCGGGTACTGGAGGATTTAGGGTTTAGGGGACTTAGGGAAGGGGTTTGAGCGTTCGCGCTTTCGCTGCCAGGCTTAGGGCTTGGGGCCTTGGGGCATCGGAGGGTTTCTCGGGGCTGTATGAGGTCTTTATACGGGGTTCTATGTGGGTTCTATGAAGTTTTATACGGGCTTCTGTATGGGCTCCATAAGGGTTCAGAGTTTAGTGTTTTTTAGGGTTTAGCGGCTAGGGTTTTAGGATTTGGGGCTTCGGGGTTTCGGGTTGAGTTGGGACGTCCAGGGTTTGCGAGTTTAGGCTGTTTGGTGTTTTTGGCTGTAATATAGGGGCCCAAATAACTACCTATGCTTCCTTATCACAGTTTTGGCATAATCTACCCCTAAACCCAAAACCCAAAACCCCAATCTACACCGAAAACTCAAAATTTTAAGGTCTCAGAGAACGAGCCCTACTGCAGCCCCAAGTTCGAAGGCCCTAAAGCCCTAAAACTGCAGCCCAAAGCCCTGCAGCCCTGAACTTAAGGCCTACGGTGGAAGTCCCTAAAGCTGCAAGCTTCAACCCCCCCAACCCACGACTGCAGCCACAGGGAGGGCTCAAACGTCGACAGGTGCCACATCAAACTTGGCCTCCGAGCGATCGGGAAACTTGCCCGAGTTTCCCGATCGCTCGGAGGCCAAGTTTGAGGTGGCACCTGTCGACGTTTGAGCCCTCCCTGTGGCTGCAGTCGTGGGTTGGGGGGGTTGAAGCTTGCAGCTTTAGGGTCTTCCAATTTAGGCCTTAAGTTCAGGGCTGCAGGGCTTTGGGCTGCAGCTGTAGGGCCTTCGAACTTAGGCCTGAAACTTGGGGCTGCAGTAGGGCTCGTTCTCAGAGGACCGTATCATTTTCAGTTTTCGGTGTAGATAAGGGTTTAGGGTTTTGGGTTTAGGGGTAGATTATGCCAAAACTGTGATAAGGAACCATATGTAGTTCTTTGGGCCCCTATATTACACCCAAAAACACCAAACAGCCTAAACTCGCAAACCCTGGACGTCCCAACTCAACCCGAAACCCGAAGCCCCAAATCCTAAAACACTAGCCGCTAAACCCTAAAAACACTAAACTCTGAACCCTTATGGAGCCCATATAGACTGATAGAACCCACATAGCTTTTCTTATATAGAGACCTCATAGAGCCCCGAGGGAAACCCTCCGATGCCCCACAGCCCAAACCCGAAACCCTAAAAACCCTAAACCCTAAGCCTCCATCCTGGCAGCGAAAGCGCGAACGCTCAAACCCCTTCCCTAAGTCCCCCAAACCCTAAATTTTGGCCCTAAATCCTCCAGTACCCGAAACATGAACCCTAAATCCTTATCACCAGCCTCGAAAACGATTACCATGACCCAACAAACCGAAATAGTCACGGCTAATTAGGTTTTTGTTTTTTGGTCCAAATGGAACAAAAATGATGCAACAAAGCCCCGAAACTAGGAT